AGCCCCCTCCCACTCAGGCCCAATAACATTTTTTAAGGTGTTTTTTATTTTTATTTTTTTTTGGTAAAAAACCAATTTTTTATGTGAAATTTTTTTTTTCTTCTAGCGTAGTAGTCCGTTTTGAGATTTTGTAGTCCTATCTTGAATCCAATCCTGGATCCGTCCTTTAATTCAACAATAGACCTAAATTGACACAAATTGTATTCATCAATGAAAATTCATTTTTATTATATGCACGTAACAAAGGATATGCAAAGCATCTAAAGACTTTGATACGATTATAATTTTGGTTTGTATTAAATAAACAAAAAATGGAGCTTTATTATTCAAAATAGGTGAAGATAGAGAGTTTATAATTAATGTTGCATTATCAAATGCATGATTCCAAAATTTTAATGATACATGGCTATGAGCTGGCATAGCTAAGCTAGTATCACAATTTGTCTAATTTTCCTCTCTGCAATCCCATTTTGCTTATGAGTATGAGGACACGTTGATCGACGATCTATACCATTTTCTTTTAAAAATTTATTGAACTTTCTATATTCCCTACCCTAATCAAATTGAACAGGTTTTATTTTCTTGTCAATTTGATTTTCAACAAACTTTTTAAACAAAATAAACACGTTAAACAAATCACTTCTTTGCTTTAATGGATAAAACCAAGTGAACCTAGTAAAATCATCAATAGATATATGAGGAGATTCCTGTATATCCAAGAGAATTAGTTCTCATCGACTAGTGCTAGACTGCTAAATAGATGGAAGATAACATGAAGAACATTTGAAGTTCAAGACATTTGAATTAAAAAACAAAAACAAACAAAGCAAATCAAATTGATTAACAACTTTATTTATAGTTTGCATATTAGAATTCCCTAATCTTGCATGCAAGTCTTCCAAGGAAGCCTGTGCAATATGAGCTTCAAAATTTGATAGAGACGTTAACTTGTGGAGACCATGTTCCCTCAATCCTCGAAGTCTTCCCATGTTTCCTGATCTTTAACAACAAAATAAGATGGGTGAAATTCAAAGAAATAATAATTATCTCTAGTAAACCTTTGAACCGATAGTAATTATTTGGTAATATTAGGAAACTACAAGAAATATATACTTTTCCTACAAAAATTCCAAAGACAAATTAAAATTTGTAGGCGGAGTTCACTTTTCCCTACAAAAATACATTTCGTAGGGTTATGATTTGACTTAAAATTTTTAATAGTGGAAGGACTTGTGGCCACAAAAAATTATATCTTTTCCCGACAATAATATTTGAAGGGAAAGATATATCTTTAGGCCCTGTTTGGTATCCATTTTTTTCAAAATGCATTTATCTCTCTCTTCTTTTCAACCACACATTCTTTATTAAAATAATATTACACGTAAATTAAAAACTTTTCCTTATTTTTTAACCGCACATTTCCCATTAATTTACTATTCAAAAATGCATTTTCATATAAAAATATCTACCAAACACCCTCTTAGCCTACAAAAAATTTGACCCGTTTGTAGGCTAATAGTTAGCGGGAAATTTTTCAAATTTAGACTTATGCGGGTCGTGTCGGTTTAGATTCAAACTCTCCAAAAAATAATTTTGAAGCGTGAAGGCCCTTCTTTGAGTTCTTTCTCTCACAGCTTCAAAACCTAGCCTCTATCGTCTCTTCGGTGAATTTGGCGGTTTGGCGGCCACCGATTTGAAAGACACCGCTTGTTCTTTCAATTTTCAAGGTAATCTCTTCTCTTTCTCATATTTTGAAAATAATTTACTGGATCTTTACTCCATAATCCTCTCTCTTGACCCTCGAATTCACTATCCTCTACATATTGATTAAGTAATTTTGCTACTCGAATTGATGGACCCATGGTAGAATTTCTCATTTTCAACAGTTTTGCAGAGTTGATGGATGAGAACCCGCATCGCGCAAACCTCATATGTAAACAATACAATGACTATTTATCACTTTCTGACGAATCTGCAATTTGGTCCTAGGTTTTGATTCAATCATACTTCATATGTCTCGAAATTGTTTGGGCTCGCACAAGGTCGGTTGGAATAGAAGTATTTGTATTTATGCTTGTTGTGTTTAGATTGTCTTTATGTGATTTGTTGTTGGTATGTGTAGAAAGTGATGTTCGAGGATTTCAAGAAATTTGAAAATGCAAGTGTGAAGGAATATGTACACGTTTGTGTTAATGTCTGTGGTTCTTCTCTTGAATGCCTTGGTTAGTTTCCTTTGACGTTATATTTAAACATGTTAGATTTTCAGGGCAATTCTTTTGGGGACTTTCTTGTATTATGGATGTAAGAGAAAATATTAAATTGATGGATGTATTCATCTTCTTTGAATGTTTTATAAACATTTCCAGAGTATTGGATGTGTGAAATAGTTTCTAGATGTATTCATCTCCTGTGAATGTTTTAAAAACATTTCCAGAGTATTGGACGTGTGAAACATTGTGTTTTACTGGACATAGATGTGGCAAATTATTTTCATTGTTGATGTGTTAATGCAATGTATAGAAGAATAACTTTGTTTTCTATAACTTGGAAAAAAAGGAACATCTTTCGTTTTCGAGTGATCAGAACAATTATAGGAATGTCTCAAATCTTTGGTAATGCCTCTAATTTACAATTTCTAAGATCATTCATTTTTTTCTATATATTGTAATGGGTTTTTGACAGTTTTAGGTGTAATTTGAAAATTGGTTGTGTTGAAATTGTGAAGGAGCCTGATTGGATTACCAGTAGATGTTAAGCATGTGGCACATATTGGGTGGGATGGCCCCTCCAATACTGCACCTAGTTGGGTACTTATTATTGAATCGCCTCATCTCAAGGTTCTGCTCTTTCTCCATGGTCATGTTAAGGTCTGGTTCTTACTTCTTAATTAGCTTTCCTTTTCACCATATGTTTTCTTTTCAATTTTTGTTTAAATTGTAAACTACTAATGATATGCATAGCCCGCATAAGAAAGAAATGTTGAGAATACAAATAGTGTATTGAGACTAATGCCCTTCTTTTAAGGTGTGGGATGTGAGGATTGAACATTGGAAGTAGAAATATGAGTTTGTAGGACTTTCGTGGTTGACAAATTATTTACCCTGTCTCAAGGTTTTTGAATATACATCCGTAATGTTTTGCTAGCTTTTGCTTCCTATGATATTGCTAATTATTTTTGGTTGTTTAAAATTTTGATTAAATGCTAGTGATTTCATTGAATTATATTAGTTGATCAGGTTTTATTCCAAGTTGTATTAACTATTAAGAATGCAAATTCTAATTGTTTATCTCGTAAAATTGGATTTTCTTTTGTAGGAATGTTTCTTAAAGCTTACTCGACAACACACTATAATATCTTGTAATGGCATGACATTTTCATTCTACATTTTAAATGTATTTTCTTGATCCCTTAACAACTCTTCAAGGTGGTGAAATAAAAAGTGGTTAAAATAGTGTGCAAATGCTAAGTCTTCTCTCTTATTATCTATCTTTTGTTATATAATGTTAAGAATACTTCCTTCTTATATAGGTTTATTGAAAAGCTGCAACAAGACATTCTCGGTGAACTGGTCAAGAAACAATTAACGGGGTTATGTGTTATCTATTACCTAGTCCACCTTCCCAACACACCAGGGCGATTTCATTGCTACAAGTTGCATGATTCATAAGCAGGCTTGCTAATAATCAACTCAAAGTCTTGTATTCTTTTATTGGATTTTCCTTGAATCACTAGTACTCTATTCTTTATTTATTCTTTTGCTGGATGCTTGTAAATTGAAAATTATCTAGTTTGGATTTGGATGAAATGTAAATTTGTTACATTTGTGTTTTTGTAAAATATTTTGGATTCAATATTACATCGATTGACACTACATGTTTAATTAATTTATAGCCTATGGCATTTTTATATTATTTTGAATAAGGTTAAAAAAATTACTACAATATAAGCAAAAAATAAAATATATGAAATAACTTATTTTCTCCCTACAAATTCTTTCATAATAATCTACAAATATGTTTTTCCCACAAAAAATTATTTGTAGATAAATAGGGTTGAGCCCACAAAATAATATGTACTATGTTGTCACAAATATTCTTTTCACACAATTTATTTGTAGAAAAAACACAATTTAGCCTACAACATAATTTGTAGGAAAAAGCGTAATCGTTTTGTGGGTAAAATTAACTTTAGTAGACAAATGATTTTGTCAGGAGAAAATTTACATGACGAATTATGTTTGTCTCCAAAGTGTTTGTAGGGAAAAACTTTAACCCACAAACTTTAAAAATTTGTCGTCTTATACCTTTTCCTTCTATGTTTGCCCCACAAATGTGTCTACAAAAATTTTTCGTCTGCAAAGATTTTTTCCTACAAAAATGAACCTTTCCCTACAAAAAAAAATTTATAGGGAAAGCATAAATTTCTTGTAGTGAACATGCAATACATTACTAAGGTAAAAATAAAATTTGAGGAAATTATAGTGGAGCTAGCATGATAAATATTCAAGCCTTGGCCATCAGCAACTTTAAGTTGATTACCACCTCGATAAGTAGCACTGATGATGAGATTGCATTGGTATCCGAAAACCACGAGAGATCGAGCCTGTGGTGTCGAATTGAGTCAAATATGGTGCTCTATCGTAATAAGTAAGATTCATTAATAATTTTGATATTGATTATAGTTGACTAATCTCAGAGTGTATCATTTCTATATCTATCATCTGTATGATTACCACTATGCCTCTAAATTATCATTTCATATTGGATCATCTTATTGGACTCGGGCGAGGCCCATCGATATTGGACAACAGAGGCCCAAGTGACATCCAAGTAAAAGCCCCAAACTGAGGCTCTAAAGAGGCCAGTTGAGGCACCTGCCGAGGTGCTTATTATTTTGCTTAGATAATCATAGGGCTGGGCAAATCTCCCGAAACGAATCGACCGAACCAAACTGAACCGAACCCGACGGTTCTTGTCAAATTAAATACCCGAACGGGTATCTAAATTGAGAACCAACGGTACGGTTCGGTTCTAGACCAAGAACCGAATAAGAACCGAATCTTTCTAATTTTTTTTTATATTGAGTAAATCAAATTATTTTAATTTTAATTTTTCTAAACAAATTAACAATTTCTAAATCCAAATTTTTGGCCCAATAATTTGTTTCATTTCTAATTTTTTAATTTTTGGCCTCATTACCCATTTTATTGTTTCATTTCTTAGCCCAACAAGATTTAATCCACTAAATAACTCTAAACACATACACTAAAGTGCATAACGTTGTCTCGACTCTCGCACTCACTCTCACAGTCTCGCTGATATTTCAAAACCTATAATATCGTCAGCCGATGCTGTGACCTCCGATCGAAGCTGTGACCTCCGTCGATCGAAACTTTGACCGTAGCGATCATTTGAACAAGGCAGTCTACTAGTCTATGACATTCCAAAACCATTGAATGTATCATTAGTTGTTTTTATATAATATTGTTATAAATGTTAAAAAATTTAATTATAGTACAGAATCGAATGGAACCGAATCGAACCGAACGAAATCGAACCCGAACGGTTCCATAATTATATTTGGACCCGACGGTTCCATTTACTAGATACCCGAAAATTTTGGTTTGGTTCAGTTCTCTTTAGAACCGAACCGAACCGAACCAACCCGGGTGGGAGAGAACCGAACCGACCCGCGCTCACCCCTAGATAATCACCTCTTTATTGGGCTTGGATTTAGGCCCATTTACACACTTGACCTGTCTCCATTATATATGTACATCAATCCATTTTCATTTTAAGGTACGTCCCGACTCTGTACCAAATTCTCCATCTCCCTACTGCACTCTATATATATATATACTTCCATCCAGCCATTGATTTGATCGTTTGAGTGCAAATGGTCGTTGGACCTTTTATACATCCAGCGGCCATTGCCTCCTCACGGGGCACTCCGTGTGCAGGTGTGGAGGAGACGAGGTCGGGCATCCATTTGCATCATTTTTTGTCGTCAACAGATTGGCGCCGTCTGTGGAAACTAATACATTAACCGCCTTATACCACGTACAAAATAATCACCGGAAAAATGAAATTTTCCGGTTAGTTCTCTACCAAGAAGAAGGAAAGACAGCAACCCAAAAACATGAAATGAAAAGTACAACCAGCCATAAGAAAAAGCAAAGAATGTTAGAAGTAAGAAGGAAATTAGGGTCTGCCAACCAAAATTGGAATGCCACCTGCCAACCGCAGAAATAGAAAGAATGGTGAAACTATTTTACAAACATACAACTAGAAACTCTTAAAACATTCTAGCTGATGAAGACCAAATCCTTGTGCTACATTCCAAGAAAAATTCAAAGTATTCAGAGGAGTTCATTCTCTTCAAGCATGGAACCCCCTGGTAAAGTACAAACACATGCCAATGACATGACAAAAATTTTGACTAACACATAGCTTCTAGGCCACCTGTTCGATGAAATGCCCAACTAAAATTCTATTCCGATGACCTTAATTAAACAGTCATTTATATTCCCGTGACTGTCATTATCCGTGACCTCCGACAATGGCCGTTATGGTAGTCGCCAATGCTCACATCTAGCCCAATGTACTGTCGGTTTTAGCTTTTGTTTAACATATTAACGTGGTTGGAAATGTGATGGTGATGGTGGCGTGTTGGGTTAGAAATGGGTCTTCTCAGTCGGCTGTTGCAGGCTATTTTTAATGGGAAGTGGTATTTTTTCTAGCCTATTGTGGAGTAATTTCCACTACATCAGAATGCACGAAGTGCAGGTTAGTGCTAGCATCATTTTATCGGACAAATATTGGTGTAAACTTGGGCCTAGAAATTTATTTCATTGGGCCAATATTATTCTTTTTCCTCTAACGGTTTATCATCTTAAATGGGCCTAGGATTCATTTTCATGGTATAATTTAGTTGCTAGCATGTGATAGCCACTTTGACATATATAAGGTTTGATTGGGCCGCTACTTCCAAAGGGATAATTGATAGATTTACACGCCTTTGATAATAATTCATTTTTATGATTTAGGGAATGAATTTAATCTAGCTTTGAATAGGCACAGCTTCTACGATCATTAGCTTGAGTTTATTGATGTTATCAATTGGGAAAAATAAATTGGCCATGGCTTTATATCGAGGATCAGAATTGTCTTCTTCAACCTTTGCACTGAATTTGAT